ATCCTTGTCAAGCTTCCTCGATTTCGAAATCACTACCAACTTTCTTATTATCATGCTAAGATTCTATCAAGATTTTTCTTCGAAGAGATTGACATAAATTAGCAAAAATCTAATAAAACGTCGCCTGCATTCTCTGTCTCTATGCTCAGGAATTTTCTTTTATGATGTGAAAAGCATCCTGAAAGATGCATACTGAACCTATAAGGTTCCTCAAACAAACATAGGAATGAGATTTGATATTTGTTGTCCAAAGAAAATTTTATTACTTAAACCCTTGTCCAGTATTCATATAAATCCTCGACGGATTGAAATTCCATAGTACGTTTTCTCTATAGTCGTTCAAAGATTCTACATTCGAAAATCCGAATAAAGTCTTCAAATCCCAATGTTTTCCTATCGAAAGCTTGAATTGAATTAGCCTTGGTGTTTCTCGAAAAATCTCGTTACAGTAATCTTCAAGTGCAGTTCTCATTCAGAACGAAGATTCCACTTTTTAGCATCTAAAAAAACTTGGCAACAAGTAGAGCTTACATAGATATAAGAATCGTTATGAAGTTTCCGTTTTTATAAAGAAACAAGGAAAAATGTTTGAATTTGTATTATTTATTCTTGAGATCATCGTGACAAGACGCATGACATGCTAGCTCAAAGAAGAATTTTCAGAGGAAGTGCCTTATGAAGATTATAGTAAGACTCTGATAGAATGAAAGATCTATATGTTTTCCGACAGAGAGTCTCAATATGCTTAGCATTGGTCTATACAGTATTTTCAAAGTAAAAACCATCAGATCCCAAAGATCTGTGCCAACTCCTGTCAAGTTTACTCGATATAGTATGCATACAAATCTTCTTACGATCTTGCTAAGATGCTATTAACATGCTGAATTCTTAAGATTCCCCAAAACAATAGGTGACAATTTTGACATTAGTTATCAAGGGATTCGACATTCTTTTAACAAGATCCTGTCTTATGAGTCTGACCGATTTCATTATTTTACTGTTCACGTTCTTGTGAATGTGGGTTAATACAATAATTACACTTGCACTTACACCCTAGAAAAAAACAGATGTCAGATCCTGCAAGATCCAATAAGGACTTACCCTTATAAGGTTTTTTCGATGATCTTGTTACAATATTGGACAATATCTTATGTGTTCATTTTTTTAAAGATGTCCTCAGATTTTGATTGTTGCGGTGTCAGCAAATAATCTTACAAGACTCAAAGATTAAGACACTAATTAGAACAGACTGGATCTTGTTTTGTCAGATCTTAACAGATCATAGAAGATCCAAAAAAACAAACATACACGGTACATAATGTAGATGTTGCCTGTTAGTATCTGATCGCGTATGGTCTGTTCTGTTCTTTCCCTTATTCGAGAATAGTTGATTCCATCAGCTTTTCGATGAAGAATAGTACCTGGGAAAAAGACTCGAATAGTTTACGTCAGTTTTTTTCTTCTTTTTCTATACTAATAGTGTAGAAAACGGTTATTTTTATTTTTCACCTTTCTACGTTAATAGAGTACAAAACGGTTACTTGTATTCCTCATTTTTCTGTAGTGATAAAATAGTAAATCCTATTTACTTTTTATTTTCTATATTGATAACATAGAAAATCTTACTTTTTATTTTTTATTTTTCCATATTGATGATATAGAAACAGCTAGTTTTATGTCCTATTTGTCTATAGTAATAATAATAATTTAGAAAATGCTTATTTTAATTTCTTATTTTTTGCATTGGTCATATGGAGAATGTTATTTTTTATTTTTCTACATTGGTAACAAAGATAACAATTTGTTTTATTCTCTATTTTTGTATATTGTTGACATAGAAAATCTTAGTTTTTATTTTGTATTTTTCTATATCGATAATATAGAAAATAAGAATTAAAACTAACTGATATATATATTATCAATTAAAATCAATAAGAATTCAAAAATAAAATTTTCTATATTATTAATATAGAACAATGAGAAATAAAAATGGATTTTTCTATATTAATGATATAGAAAACTAAGAAATGAAAGTAGCTGTTGTCTATATTATCAATACAAAATAATAAAAGATAAAAAGTAAGATTTTCTATATTATCAATATAAAAAATCAAAAATAAGAAATAAGATTTTCTAAACTGCCAAAATAGAAAAACAAGAGATAAAAATGGAAATTTCCATACTACAGTATAGAAAAATGAAAAATAAGGAATAGGATTTTATATAATATCAAATATAGAGCAAATGTTGACTTTACTTGTTCTAAAAAAAAGACTGAAGTTTATGTGCAAAAAAAACGAAGCAAAGTAGCCCGTCAGACTGATCATTTCCGTATGTATAAAAAATATTTGAGAA